GCTACTTATCATAGGAATAATCACTTCAATAGCTTGCGTGTTTTTCCCATTTTTCTCATAGGACTAATCATTTCCTGTTGGCATTGCAGGAATTTTGTTCGATTGCAAAGCCTCAGATGTTGGAGTCCTGGCTTGTGGACCAAGGAAAATGCGACATGAGATTGCCGAAATTTGTTCATCTGGCTTGGCAGATAACTTGCACTTTGAGTCCATTAGTTTCAACTGGTGATGCTACTTATTGCTGAAGAGAATAAAAGTGGGGTTTCTTCAGTACAATGCACTCCTCTATGAGGAACTCTTTCTTTGTGGATATGTACAAAGTTTTTCTTGAAATCTTTGTAATTTCTATGCTTCATAAACCCTTTTTGGCATTAAGTTTTTTCTTTTCTCGCGTAGATGTCCGATCCGGCCTCAAGTCTAACTCGATTATCCACAGTAGCTATAAAAGAAAACCTTATTACCGAAACCAAAAGAAAAATGTCAGTAAAAAATCAAATATATAGTACTTTTTTCAAAAAAGATATAATTATAAATGAAAAAGGAATTTGTCGAAATCTAGGATATATGTCTAATGAGAAAAGAAAAACGAAACAAACAAATGATTGCAGGCCAAGCAGTAGCTTTACTTATGACCACTGCTTTTGAAGATACAACAAAACAAAGGGGATCAAAAGTCTTCATATTTCATCAACTTTGTGGTCACAGGTTCCAATACTATTTGCACTAACATGAGTCTTTTCAAAAATAACACCGTGGCTAAAAAATTATATTCAAAATAGCAGAGCTAGAAACTTATTTTTTAAAATATTATAGTTTGTAGGGACAGGTATGTGTCACATGTATGTTCAAACATGCATGGATGACTGTTAATCTATAAATTGGTATAATTCACTATATACAACAGGGTAGGACATAGAGACTCATTTAAGACCAGAAGTAGTCCTGCTGTGTTCTACAAGATAGATAGGAAGAGATGGGTTCTGGAACTTCTGGTGCATCAATGAAGATAGTTTCAGCAGTGATAACCTTGTTGTTAATGGTGGTTTTTCTGGGGTACATGATGATTTGGTCCATGACGCCTACTAACACCTTTTACTTGAATTGGTTTCCTGATGTTGAGAAAAAAACCAGTTCCACTTATCTTGGAGAACAAGGTATGTTTTGTAAGGTTTTAGTTGTCTAATTGTACGAAAAGAAGAGACTGTGTGTTTATGTTATGTTGTTTCTTTGATTTGTAGGTTCAACCATACTGATTTATGCATTTCCTATCCTCTTTATTGCTACCATTGCCTCCTTGTATCTTCATCTTGAAAAGAAGTATGATCATGATATCAACACCAGGTAAATAACTATATACAAGGTCAAGTATTGTTTGATTATGGAAAGGTTTTATTGAGGAAAATTATTAACTAATGAATCAAATTTTTCTTGAAATAGCAGGTTGTTTTCTCGGATGATATTGTCGAAACAGCTGGCGATAACGAAAGGTCCACTTGGGATTGTTACCTGGACAGAGCTAACATTTCTGGCCATGTTTGTTGCATTATTGGTTTGGTCCTTGTATTCTTACATGCATGATATGCTTGCATTTGCTGCCGTAGAAGCTGCTCAAGAAAAATTTCAAGTGTAAGGCTTGTTTCTTTCTCAACTTGCAGAGCGATGTTTTTAAAGTCTTGTAAAAATTTTGATTAATATTTGAAGGGTGGTTGATTTATTGAGCTTTTTGGCAGTTGGGAAGTTAAGTTGGAAACTGCAGGTCTGAGTCTAGGGCTTGTAGGAAACACCTGCATGGCCTTTCTCTTCTTTCCAGTGGCTAGAGGATCTTCAGTTTTGCAGTATGTTGGCCTCACTTCAGAGGCAAGCATCAAGTACCATATATGGCTAGGCCATATTACCATGGCCATCTTCACTGCACATGGTTTATTTTATGTTACTTATTGGTCCCTTACACATCAGATATTACAGGTAATATTCTATGGATTCTTCTAACTCCAAGTCACTGTGTATTGGTTGAGTGCTAGCTACTGAAATTATGGACCATGTTTATGCTGAATGTGGCAGATGCTCAAATGGGACAAGTTCATGGTTTCCAATGTGGCTGGAGAAATAGCTTTGCTTGCTGGATTGGTCATGTGGGCAACAAGTTTCGGACGGATAAGGCGAAAGATTTTCGAGCTCTTCTACTATAGTCATCATCTCTACGTTATGTTTGTTATCTTCTATGTGTTCCATGTTGGTTTTGCTGAATCTTGCCTCATCCTTCCTGGTTTCTACCTCTTCTTGATCGATCGATATTTGAGATTGTTACAATCTCAGCAAAAAATCCGTTCTGTCGCAGCGCGCATTTTACCATCTGAAATAGTAGAGTTGAATTTCTCCAAGAGTTCAGGTGAAGTCAAGATTTTGTAACTAGATGTTACTGAAAGCTTTTGCAATCAAATTTTTCACTCACTCGATATAATATTTGACATTCTTTTTGTTCATCGTTGTGCCAGGATTGAGCTATGCACCAACAAGCATTGCATTCATAAATGTGCCTAGCATTTCCAGGATACAATGGCATCCCTTTACTGTTACCTCCAACAGCAATATGGATTCTGATAAGCTAAGCGTTGTCATCAAATGCGATGGAAGTTGGTCTCACAAGTTGTATCAGATTCTGTCCTCCCCTTCTCCTACTAACAGACTTGAGGTCTCTATTGAAGGACCATATGGCCCTCCTTCAGCCAATTTTATGAGGTAATCAAATGTTAGCAGAATCTATATATCAAGATTGAAATTTTTGGGGCAGCTAAATTAACATAGAAAAATTGTCCCAGGTATGAGAAGCTAGTGTTGGTGAGTGGTGGAAGTGGTGTAACTCCTTTCATCTCCATCATCCGCGAGATCATCTTTAAATCCAACACAACAGGCAGCAAGACTCCAGCGATTCACCTTATATGTGCATTCAAGAAATATGCCGATCTCGCCATCCTTGAACTTCTTCTCCCAGTTTCAGGGACCACTCTTGACCTCTCTCGATTGCAGCTGCAAATTGAAGCCTACATAACCCAAGAGACAGAGCGAAAAACAGTGAACCAGAGTTCTATTAGAACAATATTGTTCAAGCCTAGTCCATCTGATGCACCAGTTTCTGCAGTATTAGGCCCTAACAGCTGGCTGTGGCTCAGCGTGATAATCTCCTCCTCTTTTATCATTTTCCTTCTGTTGACTGGCCTTCTCACACGATTCTACATATTCCCAATCGACCACAATACCAACATGAAGTATCCAATGCCAGCAAGTTCAGCTTTCGGCATGTTATTTGTGTGTGTAGCCATAACAATTGCTGCCTCTGCAGCTTTTCTATGGAACAAAAGAAAAAACGCTAAGGAACTAAATCAAATTCGGACCACAGATATGTCAACACCAGCTCCATCACCTGCTTCGTTGTTGTATGAAACAGAACTAGAAAGCCTTCCTCACCAATCTCTTCTTCAAGCCACCACAGTGCAGCTCGGGCAAAGGCCAAATCTGAAAAGTAAGCAGTTCTTGCCTCCCATGAGTGAATTTACAAACTTATAACAAACAGATTTGTTTATATGTAAATCATGTTTCCTTTGGATATAAATTTTTGGATTCTTGCAGAAATATTATCAGAATTGAAGGAGGAAAATGTAGGAGTTTATGTTAGCGGACCCGGGACGATGAGGCAAGAAGTGGCAGCAGTCTGTTCATCATTTTCAGCAAATAACCTTCATTTTGAGTCCATCAGCTTTAGCTGGTGATTTAGAACAGTTCTATTCGAGAAATTCGTAAATTAGAAATCCTTGTCTTTTTTTGTCGCAAAATTATAAAAGTGAGTTCATCACACCGCACAATAGCTCTACTACTTTCAAAAGTTGTTTTAAGTGTTGTGGTTAAATATCATCAACTCAAGAATTGACCTAAAGTTCCAGTCACGGGTCAAGAGGAAGAGGAATGATTCCTAGATCAGCAGGTCAACCCAACTTATATTTTTTTAATCATGAAACTATCCTTTTGTATTTTTAAGAAAAAAATAAACATGAAATTACAATTTTAGATTTAAATAAAAACCAAACCGATATCATTTCATTTAAAAAAATATCCAAGTTTTTCACTATCTCGGCCTGGTCCATTCCTCACCTGCCAAGCTTATTCTTATAACACTAGGATCAAACTCTAATTATGGTTTGTAATTGAGTGGTAGCAAATTGAAGGATTTTGAAAAAAAAAAAAAAAAAACAGGAAGGAAAGCTCATACCATTTTGAAGTCTGAGTGAACCCAATTTGCCCATTGGCAAATGACTCATATCTGAAGATAAACAGACAGCTCGAAAGCTTTGCTGCAACAGAAACATATGCAATGTCTCTAGCAAATCGACACTTCTTCTCCTTGGATATTAATACAAATATGAAAGAGGAAGCACATGAGCAGCAACTTAGCCATCAAGACACAAGATTAAATGGATTCCTTAGAATTTAAGGAAAAGGAAATATTTAAAGCATGAGAATTTCGAGGTCCCAAGATGTCTTTCTCTGGCTTCGAATTGAAGTTCTTTCTCTGACAAAACAAGCCCCTGAAATCAAACACTGCGGCCTGTGCCTGTCCTTTTCCAAAACAGATGAGCCTCAAATCCAATTGCATCCCACTATTACTCGAGCAAAAGCAAGAACTATTCGACTTCGAATTCAAGTTCTTTGAAACTGTCGAGACAAAACAAGTGCAGGAAATCAAACACTACTGCATGTGCATGTCCTTTTCCATGATAGGAGCCTCAAATCCAACTGTATCCCACAATTCCTCTAGCAAAAGCAAGAAACAGTGGACTTCACTCGACATCAAGCACTGCCTTCCCTCTCTCCCAAATAAACGAAAGAGAACGAGAAGGGTTATTTTACTATTAGCCTTATATGTAATAAATAATCAGAAACGAAAGTTGGCCACTGACTGCATGCTACGAGAGAGGCGAAAGATTCATAGTTACTGATCAGCGAAAGAAAACCAAAAACCATTTCTGAGTTCCATTGATTACTATATACCTTAATGACCTCAAAACTGAGGTTACAACAGCCAGAGTTGGCTTGTGGACAAAAATGTAGTAAAGGATGAGAAAAAAAACAAGGAATGAGGAGAAAAAATATAACAAATGCATAATCTAACCCCTATGAAAAGGAAGAAGCAGAGTCTTGCCAGGGAAAATGCAACTCGCGAGAATGCTCCCTCACATGCACCACCAGTAGGGAAAAAAAGATGGAATTGAGATACTTCCTACCAAAACTTGAAATGTTTATACAATAAACGAAAGAACAGGAAGGAAAAAACCCCTATCTATCATCAGATAAACCCAAAGCAAAGTTTTCGCTCTTCTGGGTGATATCTCAAATAAACTACTCTTCACCATCCCTTCTAAGGACCTCTCCAGGCCTTCTGTCAGTAATTCTGTTGCCATCATCACAGTTAGGAGTAACATTATTAGCCACCAAGGAATCTTCTGCATTAACCCGGAATCGCCGCAGACCACCATCTGTATCATATCGTCTCACTCGCTGAACAATCTCATATTTGTTATTATGCTTTCTCCTACCATCATCACTGCTGTTAAATTCACCCCCCCTGCTAGCGCTCCCCATATCGTTAAATTTTCTGGATCGTATCATCCCTCTGAACTGATCCTCTGAATCCAATCTCTGGATGGTCCGCCCTGAATCAAATCTTTGATCTGAACGGAACATCTTCACAGGTGATTTTCTTCCCCTGAAACTATCTAAACCACCATTTCGATCATCAAACCATCTGGGATTATGCTGTGTAAAGTGATTTCTTCTTGTGGGGATAAACCCCTCTTCAAAATCAGCTGGAATACGCTTCTGAAATGGCAACCTAACTCTATCCATCCTAGCATCAGTCCTAAAATCTGGAGACCTGCTACAAAGCCTTGAAGCCTCATTTCTGTCCCTAGTTAAATATGAAGGAGAGCGACTTCTAGATCTTGACCGAGATTTCTTGTGTGTGAAGGGGTAGCTAGGTTGTCCTCTGCATAGGGGTGAGATGCTTCTTTCTCTCCTAAGCTTCCGCGGTGCATGACGATTAGAATATTCAATCTTGTCCTCTGGAATTGGCCTGTGGTATTCCCCTCTCAAGCCTCCTGTTGCAGCCCCTCTTGGAAATCTCCTAAACCCACTCCTGACCGGGCTACCATCTCTCACAGGCTGCATTCCTGTATGCACACGGTATAAATCATCTCTGCTGGCAGGTGATCTCCTCCTCGTGATCCGTTCATATGAACTGTTTGAAGAAGGATTAACAAATCGCCTGTGGGCACGGCTGTCAGATCCTGCAAACCCTGCTCCTCCAGAGACTGCACGGTCTGAGGTTATTACATCTCTGCGGCTATCAAAACCACCTCTAGTTCTAGAAGGGCCCGAAGTACAATTGCCACGATAAGTACAAAAATGGCGCCTTTCTGAGTCACAGTAGCCTGGTGCATCATTGACAAAGCAATGGCCTCCAGGACTTCTGCCACGTGCTCGAGGAAAAGTCCTGTCCCTTCCCATGAACTTATGGGAACCTGCATCCCTTTCATCTCGATGATATAAATTATAAAAACTGTTGGCTCTGAAATATCAGGATAAGCACAAATCAGCTTCTAGAACAAAGTAATTTATGAAGAAAAAAATCAGGCATGTAAAACTGATACAGAATCAATAATTCACCTGCTCCTAAGTGTACGATGCTTCCTAAATATGGCATTGGACTCCTCAATGCTTGACAGGAAATCTCTATTGGATGCCTTTGATCCAACCACCCCGGACAAGAAATCCTTGTCAATAGTGACATACGAAGTTCTTGTCTTTGGGCTAAGCAAGTCATCTCTCAGAGAATCTCCCAACCCACATTGTTCAATTTTTCTACTAACATAATCAGATCCCGAACTGGAACCTCTCTCAACCTTCATCTCCTTCTCATTATCCAAGACACGAAGTCTTTCTTCATCAAATTCAGACCCATAGTCCACCTGCTCGACTTCACCATCTTCCCCATTTTCATCCCAGCAATACTGTGCATCAGATTCCCTCAACTCCCCATCCTCGAACGGAGAATCATAACCAGCCTGAAGTTCTAAACCGTTTATGCCAACCATGTGAACCTTCTCAGCTTGATAAACATCTGATTCAAAGCTGTCATCTTCCAGATCTTCCATATTGGCCTTAGCTGAGCCACTTGTAAAACCATTACCGTGTGTTCCGCATGCATCTCCAGGAGTGACAGTAGAGTCTGCAGAAGACTTCTGCATCAATTCCTCAGACCCAGCTTGCACTGGAGAATAAGCTTCTGCTTTATTGGCAGCAGAAGCCTCATTGGTTCCATTGGCATCCACTTCCATCACAGGTTGGCCTTTCTCAGAAGACAAACAGGGCGCACAAATATCACTTCTATTAGGCGAATACTGCCGGTCACCTGATTCCTCTTCTTGACCTCCAGATTCAACTCCAAGCCAAGCAGGTCCTATTGGTGGACAGTTTTCCAAGCTACTTGTATTTAACTTCCCATCTTCATGTGAGCAGGTTGCTATCTGAGAATTCTCTCCGTTATCATTTGAGATTGAAAGATCAATCTCACTAGGAACTCTCTCTAAGTTAGGTTGATGGTGAGGAGAAAAATTACATGACTCAACCTGCACACTTTCCGTACGCAAAACTTTTATAACTTGTTCATCTGATGAACACATTTCTGAACACTGCTTGAAAGTAAGGCTAGGAAGTGCATTGCCCGATGGATGATCTAGGGATTCATCCCCATAAACAGCCTGACTTGAAGCTTCTGCATTGGCAACACCACAAATGGAGGGTTCCAGGGCATTACCAGATGGAGACAGAAAACATTCTTCGTGTTTTTCATCATGAAGGGAGCAAGCTTCAGATTCAGGTTCCTCTCTAATCGATTCACATATCCCAAGAGACAAGCCTATCAAATCAACAGATGTATTATCCCCAAGTAAATCTGACAAAACCACTCTGTCAGGAGCGTTTTGCTGTTCCAAGGCTTCAGGCTTAACCTCACAACTTTGTAAATCATTTTCACCGGAATCAAAGATCGAAGTATCACAAGGTTGCTCCCAGGTAACATTCAAGTCCAAATTCAACATTTCATCCCGTGACAATAGAGATCCTTCTCCTGTTCCACTATCCTTGGTACCAGCAGATGTATGCAAAACTGTAACTTCACTATTTTGAAAGGCATCTGGTCTATCGTCATCAGCCATATCTTTTGGGGATGCAACAGTTTCTTTGAACGGAACTGCAGAAGAAGATGAGCCCTCTCCTTCTCGTGTTGACTCTTCCACTATTGAACTTTCTTCATCACAAGCAGCGTCATTAATCATACCATTGTTGCAAGCAACAGCTGCGAGTATCTCAATGCCTGAGAAGTCATCACTGTAATCCAACTTATCATGGACCTCTGATGTCTTCAAATTGAGCTTACTTGGCACAGCAGCATTAGTTCCTCGACGTCGTCGTTTCCCAGTTGAATTAAGTTCAACCACTTCAAGACCCTGGGCTGTATGTCTTCGCTTTTTAATGGGTCCATGCTCTTTTTTCTCATTTTTTCCACTGAAGCGGCAGCCAAGAACAGCCACACCATGCTGCCATGTAGAGAACCAATGTTAAAAACCCTCACACAACAAGGAGGCACATCAATCAAGAACAATTAGATACAAGTGCAAACAAAGTAGTGTAATATTTACCTTCTCGTTATCTGAAACCGTCATGTCATCCATATTTCTGGCACTCTCATCTGATAGCTTTGGCTTCCCATTAAAGCTTCTACCAACTGGCTTACGCCTTGACGTACTCCTGTGGCCTTTTGTAAATGTCTTCCAAGTCAAATCAGGATCTATAAAATTCGTAAGTTCTAGACCTACTGCACTCATCATGCTATCAGATCCTATAATTTCTAGGCCATCAACTGATGATCCACCACCCAAATTCTTGCAGGATGCCGTGGCTCCTTGCTTCCTCCTGGTCACAGGAGTGGAAGAGGATTTAGCCTGTAAAAAAATACAAATCATCAGCCATATACATACTGGTATGATGCGAATATCACACGCACCCTAACAAATTCCAAAAAGCAAGCCACATTAAACACCAATTTATAATGACAAGTCCCTGCTTATCATTACTGGTGTTCTTGCATTACCACCATCTAACATTCAACACATTAGTTTTAAATATGGATGTGGAAACGTTAGAAAATCCCAGAACTTACCCTGATTCCCCCAATCTTGACAGAAAGAATTTCCTTCTGATAATAACTGAAAGATCCAAACCTCTAATATGTTTCTGCCCTTCTTACCTGCAAAACAAGGAAAACAACATCAGCAACTCAAATCAATACAGATTTCAGCAAGAACAGAATAGCTATTTCAACACACTGCCATGTAGTTCAAAGCTGATAACGAGACCTTCAGGCAGAACGTGTTAAACAGTTTTGAAGGATTGCAAAGACTCCCTCAGCTCAGATTCTATATAGCTTTGCTGCAGCTCTTCTTTGTATGTAATAAGATAATCAAGAAGAAGAAGTCACGCATAACAGGACATGAGAAAGTAGTATTTCATCCTTAATGTATCTAAAACATGTGACAACAAAACAAGACAGTAAATCTACTTGCTAGAAACACTAATCAACTTGTGCCTGGTCCAAACAGCATCGAAAAAATGAATAACCCATCTTCTAATCTCAACCAAAAACAACAGTGCTCACTTCTTCAGATCCTGTTGTTTGTCAGATTTAGACAAATACCTGCCCTACAAGAACAAACCCATATATCCTTCGCTCCTTCCAAAGCAGGATAACACTGGGATTGATTGATTTGCGAAAAACAAGGAGATTGGACAGATCCAATACCATAAAAAAACAAGAGATAAGAAATCAACACGGACAGAAGAGCCCATCATCAGTAACTCTAGGAAACACACATCACAACAACAAAAATTCTCACTTTCGCCGGCAGATTCCAAAATCCAGCAAAAAAATCAACTTTCGCCGGCAGCTTCCAAAAATCCAGCGAGTTTACGCAATCATTCCAGGACATACAAAACATCAATTCTTACTCATATCACTCCATAAATCATTGCAACAACAAAACAAACCCTAATTCAAGACCCTTCTTTCCCGCAATCTTGCACTCTATACAGTAGATCTGCCTTCCCCACCTCCTGATCTAATCTCTTCTTTACTCAAATCCGTCTCGATCAAGACCAAAACCAGAGAAGTTAACCTCCAGTAATAAAACAAGCAAATCGTAGAAATTAATCAAAATAATACCTTTTTTTCGTTTTATAAATAATCTTTTTCTTTTCCTTTAATAGTCATCAAAATATCCGCCGCCGCCTCCTACAACTCCTCAATTTTCTCGAAGCAAATGATAAATATAGTAATAGTAATATCCTGGTCGTCTCCTCCGATCAGCAAAATCTTCAAAGAGATTCTATTCTTCTTCTTGTTCTTCTTCTTCTTGAAGTGTCTTCAGTAAAGATGGAATATAAGCCAATGCCGAAATCCGATCGACGACGGCGATTCAATCTCCGGCGAGTGGAGAAATTTCGGATATTTTCTGAGAAGGAAGCCAAATTTTCTGGGCTTTAAGAACAACTTTAGATGAATGCCACGATAGCCCTATCTGTCTATCTCTATCCCATTTTATTCTCAACTTTATACCCAAACTGCCCTTGATAATTTTCATGAAATGATTGTAATGCCCTCCTCCAAAAATTAAATCTATTTATTTATGAATTCATGTTCAAAACTTTTTTTCAATTGGAAAGTAATTTTGAAAGAATTTATTTTTTTTATTTTAAATTTATTAATTATTTTAAAAAATAAAAAATATATATTATTTTAATATATTTATAAATAAAAAAATACCTCATAAAACAAACATCATAACATTTTCATACCATCTATTAATATTTTTAAAATGAAAATAATTTTAAAAAAAATCTAAAACTAGAAACAGAAAAGGCAGTGTCAAACTGCCTTTCACGCTTGATGATGATGACGATGACGTACAGGCAGAGTAATTAATGCGAGAAGTCAAGAGTCAAAATAGTGAGGGAGGGGACAAAGAAGCAATTTTGACTTTGGGTGAGGGTGACGGGCACGGCATCTTCCAATTTCTTTATTTGCGAAATTTCGTCCTTCGCCTGATCCTCGTCGTATATTCGGCTTTAGATTTTTGTATAAACAGATCAACGGTGGTCGATGGGGCATCAAGCCCAGTCACGGCCCATCATCTCAAGTTCAGTTTGAAAGATCAAGGCCAGCAATATAAAAAATACAAACAAAAATATTAACAATTACTAGGATTGTTCAGGATTGTACTAATAATTATAGTTTTAAATATTTTTTATTTTAAAATAAATTAAAATAATATTTTTTTATATTTAAAATTAATATATTAAAATAATAAAAAATTAGTAAGAATAAAATGAATTTTGAGAAAATATGATTTTAACTGCGTTCTCAAATAATTTAAAAAAAAACTAAATGTATTAATTCAAAAAAATTATGATTTTAAATATAAATTAAGTTAAATTATTTTTTAAAATTAAATACATAAAATTTATTTAACTTGACCAAGATTTTAGTAATTCAATATCCTATAAAAAAATATAATAATTTTTATAAAAATAATTTATTTAATACTAATCTAATAATATATATATTTTTTAAAATGAAAATAATTTTAAAAAAATATATCTAAAACTAGAAACAGAAAAGGCTGTGTCAAACTGCCTTTCACGCTTGATGATGATGATGATGATGATGTACTGCCAGAAGTCAAGAGTCAAAATAGTGAGGGGGGGGGACAAAGGAGCAATTTTGACTTTGGGTGAGGGTGACGGGCACGGCATCTTCCAGTTTCTTTATTTGCGAAATTTCCTCCTTCGCCTGATTCTCATCGTATATTCGTCTTAGATTTTTGTATCAACGGTGATCGATGGGGCATCAAGCCCAGTCACGGCCCATCATCTCAAGTTCAGTTTGAAAGATCAAGGCCAGCAATATAAAAAATACAAACAAAAATATTAACAATTACTAGGATTGTTCAGGATTGTACTAATAATTATAGTTTTAAATATTTTTTATTTAAAAATAAATTAAAATATAAAAAATTAATAAAAATAAAATAAATTTTTAAAAAATACGATTTCAACAACGTTCTCATACAGTTTCAAAAATAATTGGATGGATTAATTCAAAAACTTTATGATTTTAAATATAAATTGAGTTAATTTATTTTTTAAAATTAAATATATAAAATTTATTTAACTTGATCAAGATTTTAGTAATTCAATATCCTATAAAAAAATATAATAATTTTAATAAAAATAATTTAATTTACTTGATACTGATCTAATTATATATGATTTTACATAATGGTGTGTGTGTGTGTGTATATATATATATATATATTAATTTTGGGATCTGATTTGACAACCATACTTAAAATACAAGTTTAGAAGCTTTCCATGAATATAAATGTTAGTTCATGATCTTAAACATGGGATCCAATAATAAAAAGTGCTAATCAAATGGCTTGTGTGTATTATTTTTTTAATTAATAACTATCATTATTCTTCCATGAAGTTTTTCAATACACATCCAGTATTATAATGCTTCCTCTCTTATACTTAATTTTTGCACTTAATTTCATCAAAAGTGCTAAAGCTAACTTCTTTTAGTTTAAATGAGCTGGTTATCTTTGGCCAAATTTAATTTATTTAATTTAATTATTTAGTTCGGTGGATCTTAAACAAGTCTAATTACTATTTAGAATGATTCATTAACCAGAACTGTAGACGAATTCAAGTTTTCAAAACCTTCTAATGACATAAAACACACACGACAAGGGAAGGAAAATGTTAATTAAAACATCAATTTAAAGTACCAACTACATGTCATCATTCCTGATATCTCTTCATCCACGGAATTTCCTCACAATAAAGGGGGAATAGAAAATTAAATTTATTATTATTTCTATTGTTGGTGGGCAAATAATATTATGCATTATCAATTATCCAGACAATATTAAATTCAAATAAGTTTATTTGTTAGATTCTAAATTAATTTTTTAAAAATTATAAATTTAAAAATCACTAAAAAATTACATAATATTAATTTTAGAATTCGTAAAATTAGTTAAAATATATATAAACTAGTTCTAATGTCTATGTTAATTAAAAAAAAACAAGGCATCATTGTTTGAGCAATTTCTCTCCTTAAAAAAAAATAAAGATTTCAATTAAAATCCATACCCTTATAATTTTATTAATGTCACAATTAGAAATTCAATATATCTACTATCATATTAATATTCTATATGTCATTCTGATGAAATTGATGATGTATTTATCATCACTACAATGTTGCCATACCAAATATATAATTACATATAGAATAAAATATGAATAAATTATAAAATTATTTTTTTATAAAAAAATTATTTAATAACTTCCTATAAACAAAACAATGTTGTCTTGTAATGACTAATGCATGACATAAGAGTTTTTGTAAAAAATAACACTATTAATTAGCAAATTTTTTATAAATTTAATGTGTGCATGATGAAATTTGCTAATATTTTATTGATATAATACATGCATTATATAAAAATATAAATAATATAAATAAAAAAAGAAACATCATTATAATATATGAATAGAATTGGTAAAATAATTTTAATTTTAATTTAGATTGCGTTTCATAAAAAAAATAAAAGAGAAGTAATCCAATAAAATACGGTAAGAAGCTCGAGTTGACTTGCAATATTGTTAATTTGGTAAAAACTCATTAGTTTTTTTTTAATAATTAAAACAACATTATTATAATTATTTTTTTAATTTTTTAATTTTTTATCCGGTCGATACGTGATGTAAGAAGAAAGGAAAAGAAGAAGGGAAGAGGGAAGGAAGAGGGAAGAAAAGGAAAGTTCTTTGCGTCACCAAACTGCAATTTGTTCGATACCTTCCTTTCTTCGTGTTTTTTTTTTTAATTTAATTTTCCGATATATTTTCTTTCCAAATGGGACCCGCATGTTAAGACTTTTATTCCACGCCAAGAACCCCACCATAATTGAAAAGGTCAAGGATCCTCTACCTTCTTCCCCAACAAATTCAATCGCACCTGATCCTTCCACGTCATCGATGGACTGCCTTGATTGCTACATCACCATCATGGACGGCCAAGATGGACCCATTTTTCTTCTTGGGCACTCCAATCCTACCTATCCTCTCCACATCGTATCTCCCCCTTTCCGCATTCTGTCCAGACAAAACCCTTCTGCTCCGTCAACATAGATCAAGGATCATGTTCTTGATGGGTAACATCTTCTCCATCGCCGCCAATCTGGCTGACTTATTTTGATCTTTTGATACCACGGTACTTTCGGTTTTTTTTTTTTTGTTAAATTTTTTAAAAAATTATTTATTTAGTAAAAAAATTATTTATTTTTATTTTAAATATTGAGTTTATAAAAATTAAATTAATGTGTTTTTTTATCTATAAAAATCTATTTATTTTACATAAAGAATATATCTCGTAATAATTTTAATTAAATATTTATTTTTTAAAATCTATTTAAAAATAAAAATAAATAAAAATATTTTTTCTTAAAATTATTTTTTAAAATCATAACTTTATAAATTACCACAATATCAAATACATATTATATACTTAGAGATAATATATTAAAATAATATTTTTTTATTTTTTAAAATTTATTTTTTTATATTGACACATCAAAACAGTCTACAAACATTAAAAATTTAATTTTTAATAATTTATTTTTTAAAATTTAGGCAAATTAAGTTTTGACCACACTATTAAACATCTTAATTATATTTAAGAAATAACTATTAAAATAATTATATATTTTTTTTATCAATGGTTCTATTTGTTATAATTTTTTTTAATGTTCTAGATTTCTCATATTGTGTGATAACATTAAAACAACTTGACTTTCAGATCCATCCTGTTGACACATCAGGTGGCTGGATTAAAATAGCTTTCATAGCAAGTTTTGATAAATTTATTTGAGTATAAATTGGATAAAAGCCAACAACTTCCACCCAACTCCATCTAAATAAAAGGTAATTGATGTGGAAATAACAATTAATTAATATTGTTGTTGAGAATAGTTACATTAATTAAAATTATATTTTTTAATTATGATATTAATTAAAAAAATATGATATTTAATATATATTATGATCTTAAATCGTGACAAATAAAAATATATTATTTTATCAAAAAAAAATTGCCATCTTAATTCATTTATTTTTTAAAATTTATATGCTAATTACATCGAGTTTCGGCAATATTGTCATGTTGATTACCGTGGTGAATGCTTTTTAATTTTTTTTTAATATAATTATAATTATTTTTAATTTTTTTTATTTATAAATATATTAAAATAATATTTTTTATTTATAAATTATTATATTAAAATAAAAAAAACATATAAAAATATTAATTTAAAATAAAAAAAAATTAATTTTTTTAAATATTTTTAAAACACACAAAATAAATAAAGTTAATCTCGTTCAATAATAAGAAAGACGCCACCCTTCCCAAGATCTAGTGGCGGGGATGTTAAGACTCCATGAGTGTTGTAGCACGTTTTTTAA